ACTGAGGTCTTAAAAACATGTGCTGCTTTGTGGGTGGGGTTTGTGAAAGCATCTAGTTACATTTGGACACCCAGGCAGGTATGCTATGAGCCTGGGTAAACTGCCTTTTGTCCATTGAAACAATGAACAAATTGCACAGCTGGGATTTAAGTCAATCTTTTTTCCCCAACCAAGCCACCTATTTCCATTGTATGCCTATTGTAGTCGCCCAGATAGTGACCCAAGCTCCAGTCCACTCCCTTACTCCCTTCCCCCGACTCACTCACTTGGAAATACCTTGAGACTCAGAGTACAATCAGTTTGTGAGTTCTGCCTCTGGGCAGGACACCTTTACTCACTGAATTACATGTGAAAGACCACGCAGCTCCCTCAAACCACTTCCTGCTTCAAGTACAGAAAAAAGTAACAACTTATTAAGAGCTCCACTTCTGAAGTGTTCAGCATACACAGCATGAAAAGTGCATTTGGAAACAATTTTCTTAACTTGTAATTAACGCAGAGATAACGTTCCACAGCCTCTTTTATGATCCCCTAAGTAGGGAGACAAAAACTCCAGCTGCTAGATCACATAGTATGTATGCACAGTGACGTCATTTCTTTGAAAGCAAGGTGGCCTGCATGTGTTGGCATCTCAGGAACAGCAGAATCAGGTGCCTGACAAGGGTGTATCTTTAACTCCCAGAGCCACTTACTTGACTAGGGAAAGTCCTAGCGGTGAAGTGTTTGAAAGCAGCAACTGAATGCTGCACTAAGTGGCAGAGACGTCTTATGAATTGAGCCCTCAGGCAATTGAATCGGTGGAGCCAGTGACAGCAGCTTAAAAGCGCTTGCAAATTGAAAAAAAACCACAAGTCTTGAAGGACATAATTTTGCTGAGAATGGAAACTAGAACTACAGCCAGCAATTGGAAACGAGAAGTCGGTGCACCCACAGCAGCAGCCAGATTTACCTAAAGGGACTTCACGACACCGAATATAAAATCAGAGTTTTACAACACAAAACCCCAAGTCCAAACTCTGCCCGTGAAAGTCCTCTTCTAAACAGAAAAGTTGGGCGAGCAGCTCTTAGAAAGTTTCTGCTTTCCATATACAGTATGTATTTGTTTAAATTATGCAAATATGCAAGGTCAGCAAGAGTTGTCAAGGAGTTCTTTTTTTGGAAGAGCAAATTACACTTTACTCTAACTTTAACTCTCTCTCCGGGCATAAGTGCAGAGTTCCGGGACCTTAGCTCCAAAGATCATATTTAAAAGCTTTAATATCATCTAAAATATAACTCTTCATATATAACATGTCTTGTAAATAAAGTCCTGATGAGTTACACACACACAGACACACACACACACATGCACAAGAACATGGTCTTAAAAATAAAACATCTGCACCTGCAAAAGAAGAAAAAAAATCCCCAAGTTCATATCCACGCTCTATAGCCCTTAGCCATAGACAGGATTTAAAGGAATCTTCTATAATGACACCACGGAAGCCTTGCAGAAGTGGGGGATTTAGCATAAGTACCTTGCAATAGTTTCTACTCAGACAGATATCTGTGCAAATGCATCCATCTCCCCGAGCTATTTTTCAGATTCCACAGAATTGCATGTTCAGCAATTTATAAATAACTCCCAGTTCCGAAACAATGAAAATTTTAAAGTGAATAACAGTTCTAGGCAGAAGCAAACAGTACACAATTTAAATAAAATTCCCCAATGACTTCAAAGAGTAAGAAATATTTACCTTCAAGAAATCACAAAAGCAGCACTTAAATAATTGGGTTGGAAGACTGCTGATTTTTCCCATTGCTTCTGAAGTACAAAGTCTGAAAATGAATTGGTTAGCAGGAATAATGAAGCAAAAAGAAATCCAGAGAGATGGGAGATGTTGAGAGCAATGTCACATTTCAATTTTGAGGACTTTATTCCATTGCGCAGGCTCTATCTGCTCTGAATTTAGCAGTGACAGTGAGATTTAGCAAACAGAAGAGGGATTTAGAGAAAATCCTCACATTTATCTACAAAACACAGACACTGTAGACAGGAAACAGCTGGGGGAACATTTGCCTTCTCTCTCTCTCCCTCTTCTGGCAAAGTTATCGAGTAAGGACTTTTTTGGGCATGGTGACAAATAACATCATACCTTTGCATTTTAAAACTAGAGCACAGAAGCATTTTTTTCCCTTAAAAGAATGTGTGTTAGTGACAGGGTTAGCAGACATTAAAATACTTATGCTGCCATAGAAAATAAGGATCTGTTTTCTGATTAACTTTCTGCTGGGCACGAAGACACACACGTCTGCTCATACACCTTACCAGTATTAAAGGAATATACATGGGGGATGGGAGATCAGTTTTACATTCTAGAGCAAATGCAAAATTTAAAACAAAAAAGAAAGAAAGAACGATAAGACCCTCTCCAGCAAACTCTAAATTTTAACCCCGAAGTGACTGGGGTAAAGTAGATTGGAAGACAGCACTCGGGTGACCCCTTGTCCTAGTTGCCAAGTAAGCGGAGTGATCTCATTTCCTAGAACCTATGGAGGGGCAGGCAGCATCCGATTGGTCCCTTTAGGACACTGTCTCATACTTTCTCTCCTGCGATGAGGCAAAGACTATGTCGAGCTGTAAAAACCAACTGAAATAGAACATTTTTCTTTATTCTTTAACTAGGCTGCCTGTCACTGTTCCCTCCCTACCCCAGCACTCTGGGAGAAGGGGACCTGGGGGCCAAACAATTTTCCTGTTGTTTGAATTTTCCACATAACTCAAACCTGTGTGTGCGTGCGTGTGTGTGTGTGAGAGAGAGACAGAGGGAGTCCGTGTGCCAGAGTGTGTTTTCTTTCTCTGATTTTTGTGTATTCTAAATAACACCAGCTGGCTAGCAATACCCTCTCAAGGGTTATGATGTCATTCAAATCCCTCAACTGGGTGACTGGCCGGCAACATGGTCCAAGCCAGCTGTTTTGCTATTTATAATGTACACTTGCCTTTGCCATTGAGAATTCAGTTCTGATCTTTTGTTGATACAGTATGTACCTATTTCCCTTTGGTTTTGTGAAGCAGTAGATAAGAAAGTGGATTATAAAATAAGGTTGCAAAAGCCCAGAACATACATACCTCTTTCCCTAGAGAGCTTTCCAGGCCTGGTTTCCCAGGAGTGGTAGAAATAACCTAGACCTTGAATTTTTTCTTTTCTTTTTTTCCCCCCCCCACATGACTCTCAAGGGACTGACACATCAACTGAAAACATCGTTCTGCTTGAAATCCTACTCTGGCTCTTTATGTTATCCTGGGGCCAGAAATTTGTTTGTAGAAATGGATGCCCTAACAAAAATCAAACAAACCTGTTTTGTTTGGAAGGGGGTTGGGTTTGTTGGGGTCTTCTGTGTGGTTAATACCTTGTAGCAATGTTTACCTTTCAGAAATCAAAGTTAGAAATCTGGAATTATGTTGTGTCAATGGTGCACTATGTTCAGCAACATTTTGTGAGCTCTACTATGTGCCCAACTACACACATCCCTAGGAAAACAATGAGGAAGAAGATATGGTCAAGTCCCTTCAGGGGCTTGCAGCTGAATGTCAGAGACAAAGAGGAAAACTTCACAGTCACGTGATGGGCATTTGCTCTTTTTAAAAACATGAACAGTGCACAATGAGAGGGAGTGACACATTCTCTGGGAAGACAGGGGAGTAAAATATTTTGGAAAATCCAAAATGAGGGAGGCAAACTGTGTCATGAGAGGCTTTGGGGTACCATGTGGGGAAATTTCAGTGGATGGGATTTGACCCAAAGAGTATACTAAGAGGTATCAAGAGGTGGCCCGGTAGGTGGCCCTGGATTATTCTTAATGCAGGGATTACCCACATGTGTAACTGTGTGAGTAATCCCTGCATTTAAGAATAATCCGTGGCTTCCTTTAATAAGCTCTCCTTGTGCACTTGATTTACAACAAATCTTTTTCTTTTCTGCAGTTTTTGTGGATCGCACCCTTTCTGAAAAATGTCTATTCTCTTATGGACTTCGATGATGTAGATTGTATGGAACAAAAGAGCTGATCTCACCTGTCTTCCAGATGAGAAAGAACCTCTTTAACCAAGTTTGGAGAGTCAGACACTGGCTGGAGTCTTGGTGCTAAGTTCCTTGTTCCAACATTGGGCACCATTACAGGTGAAGGCCAGGACTTTGTTTAACCCCTTCCCACTGCAGTTTAGCATACTTTAATTGTTCCAAGATGTCCTAGAAGCTAACTATATGTCTTCAAGTCTGTCACCCACTTTGATGTGCTCTCTTGACATGCTCGGTGCACAGATAACCTTATCCACAAGCATTTCATATGAAAGGCTGTTTTGGGGACAGATGCTGTACTCCAGCGATATTGACACACTGACTCACAGTCTCTCGGTTTTATAACCCCAATTACCCTTAAAGGATAATTAGGTTTTAATTTATGTCCCAGTTTTTATGTCACAATCAAAGAAAACTGAAATTTCAGTGAGTCGTAATTGTCATCAGCTGTGCTTTGGAAACATTCCGATGAGAGCTATCAGTTTCCAATGGGGGAAGCAATTTCCTGAAGTGATTAATGTATATTTCAGTTGGGAGAATGGTCTATATTTTTGGACAGGGTGAGCCAGCAATGGAGCAGGGCAATAATTCCTAGAAAAAAGGTCATTTTCTTTGCTAATTCCAGGAGTCAATACAAAAATGAAAGAGCAATAAACGTGCCACCAGATTACTTTTTAATGGTTAAGTGCTGTACCTGCTTAGGAGTAAAAGAAATGAATGCACCTATTACTACAAATTCAAGGTAGTAGTAAATCTAAAGCCCAAGAAGAGTTCAGGTTATGAAGTCCCATTGGAGAGAAACATCTAGGGTCATTATAAAATCACGGAATGATTATGTAGTCTCCTGCCTGCAAAAAATCTGACAGTGAGATATGGCCACCAAAATAGCTAACTGCAAGGATGTGCTCATCATAAGAATATCCACTCCTGGAAATTCAAAGATTCACAGTTTCACCTTTTGCATGTGTAATGCCTGTGGGATATAAATAACTCTCCCCTAAAGCCTTCTTCTTGAGTAGCATATTTGCATAAAGCTACAGCCTCAGAAACCTTCTGACACCTTTCGCGCACACACAGAAAAAATTGTTCATTTCCTTAAAGGGCAAGCTGGCTAATGTTCACAGAAAACATGGGTGGGGTGGGCAAGGAGGCCCTGTCTTCTCCCTAACTTTTTTTTTTCCTTCTCAAGCCATGTTCCCAGTCTCCTGTGTTAACTGGAGAGGCGTTAGTCCAAAAGGTAATTTCATATCCATGTACAATAGGGCATGTTTACAATTTATTTCATTAATGTCTTTGCTGATTCCCAAGGAAAGCTCAGAATGGACATTTGGAGGTAAGGGAATTTTGGAATCAAATAAAGGGTGAGGCGTAAGGTTCTAGGGCAACCACCAGGCAAAGAACTTGGGGGAAACTATTGGATGTTTCTCTTGGATCATGGTTTGTGAGGATGGTTGGTCATGGGTTGCTCAAACTAATGTTAGAGGTCAAGAACTTGTCAATTCAGAATGTAAAACTCAGAGGAAAAGACAGAGTCTCAAAAACTCAACATGCTGCTGAGCAAGTGGCCTAATGTCAGCTCCAAAACATCTGCTCAGAAAGATTCCTGTGATTCCCCAGGAAGATTTGCTCAAAGGAGCTGCTCTAACTCCTTGAAGAAGGGTTTCGCCCACGACTAGGGAAAACAGATATAGGGAAGAGAAATCCTCTCAGTAAAGAAATCAGTGCTTTCTTTTCAACATCAAACTTGGATCTTATTTCTTCTAAAATGTCAAAAGGACAAATGCTGGAAACAGAAACGAAACTGTTGTGGTTGTGTGAGCAAAGTTCTTCTTCGTTATGGCACAGGAGAAGTCACGGCATGGGGTAAGGGTGGGTTGGTGGAGTGAGAGAACTTGAGGACTCGTCACATTTGCCCCACGTTGCGTAGAAGGTGGGGAAAACAGACACCAATGCCAAACTTCAGGGGCAGGACCCACGTAAACGCTTTCTTGGGGAATAAAAAAATGTGCGCGCCCTCTAGTGGACTTCTGAGAAACTGCCACTGCACTCTTGACCGTGGCTGTGCGTTTTGGCAGGAGTGGGGGCTTTTTGAAAGTTCTGGATTTAAATACATTTTAAGCCGCACTTATCTTTAGTTTTATTAAGTCTTTTGAAATAAGTAAGATAGATATTCAATTCACTGTAGTTTAAAAAGGGGAAGATTGATAATGGGGGAAAGAAAGATCATAAACTTCATCAGGGCATGGATGGATTCCTCATGGCCATATTCCCAGCTCCTAATTCCGGGTGCCTGAGCTCGAAACATTTTGTTGAATGAATGAAAGTCTAGAAAACAAATGATGATAAAGGTAGAATGTAAAAATTGCATAAACCCCTTGAGGGTAAAATAACTAACCTCCTCATTTTATAAGAAAAATAAGACCAGGGAGAGGGGCTGTTGCAGGATAGAAAAATGACTTGTCAAGCGAGACAGATTTAGGTGCTCACAAAATAGAATTCAAACCCAGTCTCCCTGTCTGTTCTGCAGTATTTCTATCATATTAGTTTTCAAAATGTGGGTTATAACACTCCTGGTCAAAGACGTGGCATTAACGAATCACATAAGTATAGAGGTGGTTCCATTTACAATTCTCTTTCTGATCCTGAATTTCCAAAGAAGAAAGTCTCAGTTTGGCACTAGTTTGTCTTCAGTGCTTCCCTAGCACTCATTAGTCTCTCTTTATTTTATTATTTTTTTTAATTTAAGTTTTAATTTTTGTGGGTATGTAGTAGGTATATATATTTATGGGACACATGAGATATTTTGATACCGGCATGAAATGTGAAATAAACCCATCATGGAGAATTGGGTATCCACCCCCTCAAGCATTTATCCTTTGTGTTACAAAAACCTCTCTTTTTAACAACCAAAAAGTGACTCTCCAGTCCAAAGTCTTTCCGGCAGAAGTTTCTATCCAGAATTTAATACTGTTCTGTTTTCATGGAATTTGCTTTTAAGCAAACCTTCTGTTTAAAGCAAATGATGCTATATTTAAAATAGATATTTTAAAGTTTAGTTTTAAAACATATGTATATAAGTCTTAAGAACATCAAGTTAAGAAAACATATATATTTAAAGTAAGTAAATAATTTGACAGGTGGCCGATGGTTATGACACACAATTGTAGGTGGTGTTTGAAAGCCTGGTGTTTGGAAATCACTACAATAACATGCCTTTGTGTTAGAAAAACAAATACATAGTCACAACATAAAGGCAGGGAACAAAGACCCTCTACATAAAAAGATGCCAACATATAAATGTATTAATTACATTTCTAGATAATTTTGATCTCCATTAAACTCACTCATTTTTCACTTCAGTCTTTCACAGAGACTGGAAATGTTGAAGAGGGGTTGTCAGCCAGAAAAGCATCTGAGTTAGGCCTTGAAGCATGAATTCACCTCCAAGATGGAAAAACAATGATAAAGGCTATTCCAGGCAGAGGGAACAGCATGAGTAAAGTTATGTAGGGATGAGAAAGTTCACAGCGATGGGGGGATGTGGGAGATGAGACTGTGGCTGAGAGCTCAGAGTCCTGCCCTGTGGAAACTTTTTACCTCCCACTCCCCATCAGTAGCCTCCTTCACACAGTCGGAAGACTGGAAAACAGTCTTAATTTTCTCATGTTCCCTTGTACACAAAGATTTGTGTGTAACTAAGTCTGTGATTAGCCCTGGGAATGGCAGAGTGCCTCAAGGTAAATAGCAGACGTGGGTTACATCAAAGCCTAGGCCCACGAGAGGCAGGCCTGGGTAAGAACTGAGGTACATATTGATCATCTATTCACGTTTCCAGATATTACATTTGTAAAGCTTAATTGCAGTGTTTATATTTGGGAGGTAGATTTTAATAGAAAAATGAAATGATTACACTTGATAAAGATTTTCCACTGTAAGAGTTGAGGCAAGATCTTGTTTCTGGGGAGCAGTGAACTCTCTAGGAATGCAGGTTCATCAGAGCATCACACACTTCATGTGGGCTGATTAAGGAAGTTTTATTATGCTCCATGAAAGCAGGGCATGCAGCCCCAGTCTCAATCTTTTACCTCCAGATGGCTAACTGTGGAACTTCTCAGGGTGCTTCCTGTTGGGGTCCCCTGCATAAACAGAAGTTAGGACATTCAATTGCAGAGGGGACGCTGCATCCAGAAGAGCCCTTCGTAATGCTCTATCTGGGAAGCACATACCCTTCAAAATAGTATTTTGTCCTGGCTGGGCACAGTGGCTCAAGCCTGTAATCCCAGCACTTTGGGAGGCCGAGGCAGGCGGATCACCTGAGGTCACGAGTTTGAGACCAGCCTGACCAATATGGAGAAACCCCGACTCTACTAAAATAATTAGTGGGGCATGGTGGCTGGTGCCTGTAATCCCAGCTACTCAGCAGGCTGAGGCAGGAGAATCTCTTGAACCCAGGAGGCAGAGGTTGTGGTAAGCCAAGATCGTGCCATTGCACTCCAGCCTGGGCAACAAGAGCAAAACTCTGTCTTAAAAAAAAAAAAAAAAAAATAGTATCTCGTCCTTTGCCCAGCACAAACCCTTTAACACGGGTTAAACACCTTGCAGACACTCAGATATTCCTAGGACACCCTTTGCTCCTTTTCACAATACCTTGGTGAAGGCCTCAGCTTCTTTTGGAGCTCCAGATAAAATGTTAAACCCAGTTGTATTAGTCACGGTTCACGATTCTCCAGAGAAACAAAATCAACAGGATGTATACAAGTATATATAGAGAGGTTTATTTTAGGGAATTGGCTCACATGATTGTGGCAGCTTGGAAAGTCAAAGTCTGCAGGGTAGACCAGCAGACTGGAGAACCAGGGAGGGGAGCAAAGGCAGTCTGCTGGCAGAATTTCTTCTTCTGAGGGAGAGGTCAGTCTCTTTTTACTAAGGCCTTCAACTGATTAGATGAGACCACTCGCATTATGGAGGTAATCTCCTTTACTCAAAGTCTACTGACTTAAATGTTAATCTCACCTTAAAAAGTCACAGAGACATCTACAGTGATGCTTGACAAAGTATTTGGGTACTGTGGCCTAGCTAAGTGGACACATAAAATTAATCATCATATCAGTGCCTCTCAAAAGGTGCACTCACTGGTCCTCCCTCACTAAAACTGAATAGTAATAATAATATTTTCCAAGTGGCAAAAAAGAGAACCCAAGTTAATAAATTAAATTTTCCAATTCTAAGTTTTCTTCTCATTCATTTTTCTTACACCTGTGACTCCTGCACTTACTGTTTCTTGATCATTGCCAAAAAGAAGTTGTGGCCACTTGCCTTGGCTGTGTCATTAATATTTTATGAAGATGACGCTCATTGGCAACAAGAAAATAAAGTGGTTTTTATTTGTCTTATTCTAGAACACACATGCACACCACTCAAACACATGAAAACAAATAAAAAAATAGGCACCTGTGCTTAGTTTCTCTAGATAATAAAAGTACACTCATTCCCTGATAAGAAAGTTAGCTGTTTAGACCAATGGAGAGAAGTTTCAGGCCTAAGGTGATATTTGAGTTGGGATGATTTCCTGCCCTTTAGCAACATTGGGAGAGAGTTTTTACATGTTTATGCCTCTAGAGACTGACTCTGTCCCTGACCCTATGTGGGGCTATGAACCTTTGTGTAGCATGAAGCAAATGATTTTTAGCACCTCTAATACTTTTCTGCATTTTTTTTACATTAAGCCAGCGTTTTACAGTCAGGAAAAGTCTCCCAAAACAATTATTGGAAACATGATTGATAGGTGCTATTTGTACCATCTGTTCTTTGTGTTAACTGAAAATGTAGCATATACATGTGTGTTTATGTGGATGTGTATTTTTTTATTATACCTTAAGTTCTGGAATACATGTGTGGAACATGCAGGTTTGTTACATAGGTATATATGTGCCATGGTGGTTTGCTACATCCATCAACCTGTCATCTACATTAAGTATTTCTCCTAATGCTATCCCTCCCCTAGCCCCCCACCCCCAGACAGGCTCTGGTGTGTGATGTTGCCATCCCTGTGCCCACATGTTCTCGTTGTTCAACTCCCACATATGAGTGAGAACATGCGATGTTTGGTTTTCTGTTCCTGTGTTAGTTTGCTGAGAATGATGTCCCTGCAAAGAACATGAACTTATTCTTTTTTATGGTTGCATAGTATTCTATGGTATATATGTGCCACATTTTCTTTATCCAGTCTATCATTGA